ATTTGTAAATTTTTGTAGTAAATTGTAAATATTGTAAAACTTTTCTTCTGTCATTTAATGGTCGGGCATTGTACAGCTACAAGCATTTCACCCCCATGTCATACTGTGTATGGTTGTGTGTGTGTGACAAATAAAATTTGAATTTGAATTTGCTGCTATTAGCCTCTATTAGCTGCTGTTAGCTTCTGTTAGCCTCTATTCACTGCTGTTAGCCGCTGTTAGCCTCTATTCGCTGCTGAAGTAGCTTCATTTCCCTCCACTCCGGAGAGCTGAGGCCCGTCAGGTTTTATTTTCCACTGATATCCCTCGCTTGCTCTAAAACTACGTCTTCTTATGTATTTATAGTCTGACTGCAAAAGCTGACTGTGAGAAATTATTTCAACATATTCTGTTATGGGGTAACCAGGTCTCACAGCAGGAGGTGAAAAGGATTGTTAAGCTCTAATTTAACGTAATTAAAGTTTACTGTCTTAAAACGATATGAAAAATATTTTATTTGGCACATCCACAAAGACAAAACACTCCTGATAACAGTGAAACAGGAGACATCAAAGGAAAAGAAGCTTTAAAGGTTAAAACAGTTCATTTCAATACTGCTCATTAATAATCAGAATAAAATCAGAATAAAACCTGACCGCAGAAACATCATTAGCATCGTTATTGAATCAGTTACAGGAGATATCAGAGATGATGTGCTTTTTCATTTTCACTTCCTCAGTTTCATCTTTACACAGGTGCTGGCAGGTGATTGGCTTAAATGGTCACCACTGACAGGCTGTCGGTGCTGCATTGGTGAGAACTGGACCCATAGGTGTGTCTGTGGGAGGGGCTACACAGAGAAAATCACTGCTGATTGGCAGATGCAGCACTCTGATTGTGTCCACCATGGAAATGATCCTCCTGTTAGTAACGCTGTGCAGCAGTTGGTCTGCACGAAGGCAGAGGCGGGTCCTCACCAGCAGGTGGAGACGCGGTGATGCTGGAGTCCTCATGGACACAGTTTTCCAAACTTCAGAAGGTTCATTTGTTCGGTCACTCACACATTCCTCTCATGTGACCAACATCTCTAAAGTTAGAAATATCCTGTCTCAGAGTGACGCTGAAAAACTAGTTCATGCATTTATTACTTCCAGGCTGGACGACTGTAATTCATTATTATCAGGAAGTCCTAAAAACTCCCTGAAAAGCCTTCAGCTGATCCAAAATGCTGCAGCAAGAGTCCTGACAGGGACTAGAAAGAGAGAGCAGATTTCTCCTGTTTTGGCTTCCCTTCATTTTCAAACCCTCACAGACACATGTGTGTCTTGAATGATCTTCGTGAGATCGGCACTGTTGGGATTTTTTAAAAAGGCTTTTGGATCGTTGCACAAAATAAATATTCACAGTTTAAACATTCGCAGTCGGCTACAAACAAACTGCATTTTCAAACCTGCTGACGTCAGTATGGGGGGGGACTTCCCATGATGCATCATGGAAGCTAAACTGGGAGGTGACCTCCTCACTAAGGCCAGCAGGTGTCGCTGTGCTGGGTGTTCTGGTGCATTTATCGTACGCCACACTCCATCACCTGAGGGTAAACAGTGTAAACAACATTACAACATCACCCAGCACTCAGACGGTGCTCCTGATGGAGTAGACCTCCCCTCCTTTAGCCATGACCATCCTCGCCACGGCCTGCACCAGATCGTAGACCTGCTGACCGTCCCAGTGGTCCGGGTTGTTGTTGAGGACGTGGTACCTGTAGCCCACTTTGAAAAGCAGCTCAGGTCCTGCCGCCCGGCGCTGTCTCTCGATGTCTGGAGCCGCCGAGTTAGCATAGGTGCAGAGGATCCTGGTGTACCTCAACACGTCCATCCCAAAGAACTCCTCCACCTGCCTCATGGTGGCTAGATCCTCCACGGTGGAGGACCCCACCCTGGTGACCAGCAGGACGGCGTGGGGCCTCAGCATGTTGACACATGTGGAGATGTCCCTCTTCACGGCATCGTCTGATGTTTCCGAGAGACCGGGAGTCTCAGCTACGGTCACCTGGTGGCCGAACACCCACTCGCTCTGCCAGCAGCACGATGACGTCCCTGAGGAGAAGATTCCACCAGTTTACTCTGAACATGCTCCCAGTTTGAGGCGTTTGACCTCCTACACTAAGCTAATGTTAGCCGTGTAGGGGAGCTAAAGAGGCTGTGGCTAAATCAGTCCACAGACGGGTTAGACTTACCTGAGGATGGATCGCCTGGACTGAAGGCAAGCCTTCCTAGGATGGCGTTCCCAGTGGAGCTCTTCCCCACTCCAGGCCTCCCAACAAGAACCAGTCTGATGTTGGACACTGAGATGGAGAAAGTCTGCTGTTAAAACGAGATTTAAAGGATACTTCTGGATCATTTTAAGCTCCGTGTTTCCTGTTTCTGTGGGTCTGAGATGAAACGACAGACGCTTTAAAGTCGTCATTGATATTCTTCATGATGTCACACAGCCCCTCCCTCACGCTTTAAAGGAAGAGTGCAAAGTACCGAGGACGGCACGACTTGGACTTGCTTTCTACAGAAACGCAAAGATCGGTGTACCTCACACTGGGAGGGGTCGCAGTCTCCAGTGTGCACATGTGATACCTGTGTAACGCTGCAGGAGCGAGCGCTCCTCCTCCAGGGGGAGGCGCCAGCCCGGCCACAGGCATTTAACCAAGTTTGTAGCGTCTTCGAAATCATCGAAATCCTCCTCGTCGTTTCTGGCTGTTACTTCCTCCGGCCAACAGAACCTGAGGTTCTGTCTCAGGCGGTCAGCGTCAAACGTCAGCACCTGAAGGATCAACAGGATGTTTTTAAAGGAAACCTGCAAACGTCTGTACTCTGACGGTACACCTGCAGGAGTGTTACGTTCAGGGACAGTCGGAAACGTTAAGGCTGAGAGAACACGTGTGAACCTACATGATCACAACAAATAATCATGTTCGAGGTCCTGCAGTCAAACATAAACCAGCTTCTCAAGCATGAAGCGCCAACAGCTGCAGTTCCTCTGACGCCCAGCAGAGGCAGCAGTGAGTCTCAATAGATTAGGGGTTTGCCCATTTGCCCACTTGAAGTGCTGTGTGACTTCCTTTGAGAACCCTCTGACATCAGAAATGGGTTCTTTACATGATGAGCTGCTGTCCAAAGCTGAAGCTATCGAAACGTTTGCTGAAGTTTTCAATCAGCTTATCAACAAAGTCAACAAAAGAGGACACATCTCCCCGAACCTGTTCCTTCACTGTTGGGAAGTGTGCATAGTCTCCTTGCAGGAACACTTCAGGTTTCCTCTGAGAGCAGTGTCACCGGTTCACAGATTGGATCGTCTTTGCAGCTTCAAATTCAGTCCATTCAGGTGTGAAGTGATAGCAACCAAAAAGGCCACAATATCCATGTTTCCCATCATTAAAAAAGAGAGAAAAGTTTGGTGCTTCCTGACTTTCCGGCTCTTCGTGCTTTGTCTCACGGTGGCGTTTGCTGGAAGAATGAGCACGTCTGCGTCGGTGCAGTCTTGAAAGTTCTATTTTCGGTCTTTACTTTTCTCGCTTTTGAAAGCGCCATCGTTGTTGTACCTCTTGTGACTGCCTGTATCGTTAATCGTCTCGCTTGTTATTCGCCTCTCACCGTCTCTTTCCTCTGTCTGTCGGTGTCTGCGATCACCTTGAATGCACAGATTTGATTGGCTGAGTAGCGTCACATGGGTGGCTTAACTCGCACACAATTGGTTTGTCTGTTCCCTGGTCTATTAATGCAAGGTAACATTACCGCTTAAAATTGAATCGCCTCGTCAAAAGTATTTTAATATTTTGTGAAGTTTCGGTCCGGCCCCTGCCATAGATGTTAGAACCACAGCAGAAACAAACATGTTTACAGCCTGAAACACATCTTTAGAATTCACCTGTTTAAATTGCATTAAGGCTTATTAGGGGCGTGGCCTCTTTGACAGGTGGACGGTGACACGGTCTTCACAGACTGTTGGTCTAAAGTGTTGTTTTTTCACCTGTCTCGAGCAAAGACTATTGGATCATCTATCCATGGAGGCAAAATGAAAATATGAAGAGAAACAAAGAATTTGGGTCCATATTCTGCAGCAGCGACGCCGCTCCCACAGCTCGGACTCATGACCATCTACCTGCATGCTGCAGAGGATCGCTCACCTCACCCTGCTGCCAGGACGAAGCTTTCATACAACCTGTGGATGCAGACTGACAGGCTACGAAATCTTCTCATAATATGAAATATATATTTAAAAAAACGAAGACAAAAGTGTTCCTTTTCTAACTCAACATGCTTCAGGTGTAAAGAGTGATGAGGAGGAGCTACCCGTCTGTTCTCCACGTGCAGGGCGACGGCGACATTGTCCCAAACATAAAACACTCGTCGAATCAGCTGCTGAGCATCCACGTGGTTCCCATCAGGTCTGTGGGTCAGCTCGTAACTGTGGGAACAACGCACACGACTGAGAGGCTGGGAAAGTGGAAACACGCCAAACTGTCAGGAAGCGGCTGTGAGAGGAGCCAAC